GGGCAGGGGACTGGACTCGATGACCTCTCGACGTCCCTTCCAGTCCTAGAATCTATGAATCTATGAATCCCCCTGCAACATAAAGGAGAGATGACACAGAACTCGGGGGCTGGAAATCAAATCAGTGTCTTAGATGTCTGAATACTAATGTGAAAAGTATGGTGAATAAGCAGGAAGAACTCAAAATGCTAGTAAATAAACACAACTATGACATAGTTGGCATCAGACAGATTCGGTGGGATAATATGCATGACTGGACTATTGGTATAGAAGGGTACAGTTTGCTCAGGAAGGACAGGCGGGGGAAAAGGGAGGAGGTGTAGCCTTATATATTAAACATGTATACACTTGGACTGAGGTTGAGATGGAAATAGGAGACAGAGTTGTTGAAAGTCTCTGGGTAAGGATAAAAGGGGTAAAAAACAAGGGTGATGTCATGGTAGGGGTCTACTACAGACCACCTAACGAGGTGGATGAGGCTTTTTTTAAACAACTAACAAAATCATCCAAAACACAGGACTTGGTGGTGATGGGGGACTTCAACTACGCAGACATCTGTTGGGAAAACAACACAGCAGGGCACAGATTGTCCAACAAGTTTTTGGAATGTATTGGAGACCATTCTTTATTTCAGAAGGTGGAGAAAGCTACTGGGGAGAGGCTGTTCTACATTTGATTTTGACAAATAGGGAGGAACTGGTTGAGAATTTGAAAGTGGAAGGCAGTTTTGGGTGAAAGTTATAAAATGATAAAAGTTCATGATTCTAAGGAATGGTAGGAGGGAGAACAGCACAATAAAGACAATGGATTTCAAGAAGGCAGACTTTAGCAAACTCAGGGAGTTGGTAGGTAAGATTCCATGGGAAGCAAGTCAAAGGGGAAAAACAATTGAAGACAGTTGGCAGTTTTTCAGAGAGACATTATTAAGGGCAAAAGAGCAAACTATCCCACTGCATAGGAAAGATAAGGCTTAACCAGGAGATCTTCAATGATCTAAAAATCAAAGAAGAGTCCTACAAAAAGTGGAAACTAGATCAAATTACAAAGGATGAACATAAACAAATAACACGAGTATGTAGGGACAAAGTTAGAAAGGCCAAGGCACAAAACGAGATCAAACTAGCTAGAGACATAAAGGGTAACAAGAAAACATTCTACAAATACATTAGAAGCAAGAGGAAAACCACGGACTGAGTAGGCCCGTTACTCAATGAGGGGGGAGGGAATACCAACAGAAAATGTGGAAATAGCAGAGGTGCTTAATGACTTTTGTTCCTTCCTAAATGGAGTACAATCAGTTACACACATACAAAATGGGAAATGAATGCCTAAGGAGTACTACGGAAAGGGATCTGGTGGTCATAGTGGACCATAAGGTAAATATGAGTGAACAGTGTAACACTGTTGCAAAAAAAGCTAACATCATTCTGGGATGTATTAGCAGGAGTGTTGTAAGCAAGACATGAGAAGTAATTCTTCTGCTCTATTCTGTGCTGATTAGGCCTCAACTGGCGTATTGTGTCCAGTTCTGGGAGCCACATTTCAGGAAAGATGTGGACAAATTGGTAAAAGTCCAGAGAAGAGCAACAACCAACCCTCCCTGCCCCCAGCCCCTTACCGCGCTGCCTGGAGCACCGGTGGCTGGCGGTGCTACAGCTGCGCCGCCCAGCTGGAGCCAGCCACGCCACCGCGCAGCACAGAGCACCAGGTCAGGCCGGGCTCTGCAGCTGCGCTGCCCCAGGAGCTGGCAGCCCCACTGCCCAGAGCATTGCACCAGCGGCGGGGCGAGCTGAGGCTGAAGGGGAGGGGGAACCGCAGGGCAGGGGCCGGGGGCTAGCCTCCCAGGCCAGGAGCTCAGGGGCCGGGCAGGAGGGTCCCACGGGCTGTAGTTTGCCCACCTCTAGACAAACACCTGTCAGGGATGGTTTAGAATTAGATAATACCTAATCCTGCAAGGGACTGGACTAGATAACCTCTTGAGGGCCCTTCTAGTTCTGCGATTCTATGAACATTTTGATTTTGTTGAATCAGCATTTTCTGATTCAGAACATTGCTGGAAATTGTCAGAAAATTTTTGACCAGTTCAAGTTATGACTATATCCTCGAGCAGTAAGTCACTTTTTCCAGTCAGGTGGGAAACATCTAGAAGTGTTCTACTAGGTAAGAGGGACTATTTGTGGTTCAGAAGGATGCCCATCCTTACTCATTACAATAAATAAAAAACAAACAAATTGCAAACTCCCTACCAGTTGAAAAAAATCTCTCAATTCCTCAGTAAATACTTGAATTTTTATCACTTTTGCTATAGTATATCTAATTTTTGCTTTATCATTATGATTGATCTACACAGATCAGGAAACATATTAAGGAAACATTTTTAGTTCAAGAAATGCATTTGTTTAGATCTCTTCATAACCAGCACCCAATTCCAATCACTGAAGAATATAAAGGGGACTTGATACTTTAGCTTAGTCATGTTTTCAGGGGGGTTGCCGCATTCAGTGAGTATGTTACTGAAATTCCCCAAGAAATCTAATACACCTCCACAGTTTCAGGGTGGCTCATATTTGGTGGGCAGTAATGTCTCAAGCACATGAAACTATTTTCTGATAACATCCGGTATTTTAGTGTATTCTACACCATCCCTTATGCCAAGATGCAGCTTTTAATTTTGTTTTCTAGAGGCTCTATTTTCATATTTAAAATAAAGTTTTCCTTCGTCAGAACTACAGAAAGATTTTAAACACCGACCAATGCCTTAGAAAAGTGGTTTTCAAACTTTGGGTCGTGACCCAGTACTGGGTCACAGAATGCAAGGCACTGGGTCGCCTTGCTCAGCACTCAGGGACCCTGGTGGCCGGCCAGTAAAAACTAGTAGTCCCTTCCTGTTCTGACACCGTGCTGCACCCTGGAAGCAGCCAGCAGCTGGTCCAGCTCCTAGGCAGGGGGGCCACGGGGCACTGCACACTGCCCCCACCCCGAGCACTGCGGTGCCTGCGGGCAAGAGCTGTGTGGAGCCAGACCTGCTGCTGGCTGCTTCCGGGGCACAGCGCAGTCCGCGGTGCCAGGAGGAGACGGGAAGCCTGCCTCTGCATCCCGCCTGCGCCGCTGACCAGGAGCCACCAGAGGTAATCCTGTGTTTCAACCCCACGCCCCAATCCTCTGCCCCAGCCCTGAGCTCCCCCCCCAAAACTGGAGCCCCCTCCTGCACCCCAAACCCCTCATCCCCAGCCCCATCCCAGAGCCTCACCCCCCTGCACTCCAACCCCCTGCCCCAATCCAGAGCCCCCTCCGACACCCCGAACCCCTCATCCCCAGCCCCATCCCAGAGCCTCACCCCCCTGCACTCCAACCCCCTGCCCCAATCCAGAGCCCCCTCCGACACCCCGAACCCCTCATCCCCAGCCCCACCCCAGAGCCTGCACCCCCAGCCCAGAGCCCTGACCCCCCCTCCCACACCTCAAACCCCTGCCCCAGCCCAGAGCCCCCTCCCACACCCTGAACCCCTCATTCCTCACCCCAACCCTCTGCCCCAGCCCTGAGCCCCCTCCCACACCTCTCATCCCCAGCTCCATTGGGTCATGAGCATCAACAATTTTCTTCAACTAGGTTGCCAGAAAAAAAGTTTGAAAACCATTGCCTTAGAACATCTGTTGCACTTCTCCCTCTGCATATCTTTACCATGGGTTGGTATATCTCCCACTTCAGCTAGCTGAGGAGCATGTATCAGTGCAACACTCCTCCTGCAGCATTAATAGCAGAGGTAATTGTGTGGAGTGAAACCTTTGAAACTAGTAGTCCCTTCCTGTTCTGACACCGTGCTGCACCCTGGAAGCAGCCAGCAGCTGGTCCAGCTCCTAGGCAGGGGGGCCACGGGGCACTGCACACTGCCCCCACCCCGAGCACTGTGGTGCCAACACTGCTCCCTAGCCAGATAATAGCAACCTTTGTCCCAAAGAACATAAGAATGGCTATATTGGGTCAGACCAAAGGTCCATCTAGCCCAGTATCCAGTCTTCTGACAGTGGCCAATGCCAGGTGCCCTAGAGGGAATGAACAGAATAGGTAATCATCAAGTGATCCATCCCCTGTCGCTAGGGTGACCAGACGGGACAGGGGGTGGGGGTTAATAGGTGCCTATATAAGACAAAGCCCCAGACTGTCCCTATAAAATCAGGACATCTGGTCACCCTGCCTGTCGCCCATTCTCAGCTTCTGGCAAACAGAGACTAGGAACACCATCCCTGCCCATCCTGGCTAACACTTCCTTATTTACTCTCTCCACACCAGTCATGATTTTATAGATTTCAATCATATTCCCCCCTAAGTCGTCTCTTTTCCAAGCTGAAAAGTCCCAATCTTATTAATCTCTCCTAATACAGAAGCCGTTCCATACCCCTAATAATTTTTGTTGCCCTTTTCTGAACCTTTTCCAATTCCAATATATCTTTTTTGAGATGGGGCGACCAAATCTGCACGCAGTATTCAAGATGTGGACGTACCATGGATTTATATGAGGCAGCCTGATACTTTATGCCTTATCATCTATCCCTTTCTTAATGATTCCCAACATTCTGTTCGGTTTTTTGACTTCCGCTGCACATTGAGTGAATGTTTTCAGAGAACTATCCGCAATGACTCCAAGATCTTTCTTGAGTGGTAACAGGTAATTTAGACCTTGTGAGGGTTTACGCTCCTGGTTGCCGGGCGGTACAGCCCAATGGCCAGAGTCTATAGGATCGCCCCTGGTTGCCGGGCGGTACGGCCAAATGGCCAGAGTCTCTCCCACTCGACCGGGCCCCGGCCTGCGGCCCTAACGACGACGTAGGACCTTGCCACTGGCTTAGCAGGGGGTCCTACCAAAACACACGGAGGCTTACCGGGGGCAAGGTACCAGTCCGTCACACCCCCCCGGGTGTGTATAGCTTCCTCCCGGCTTGAGAGTTGGGGTCTCCCATGAGTCCCAAGGTTCTCCGCGGGTCTCCAGGTCCGTCACCTCCTCGGGCTCCTCCCACAGCAGGGCTTCATGCTGGCCAGGGGAAGCTTCATTTCCCAGCAAGTCTAAGGGTGGTGGCTGGTCCTCTGCAGGAGCTTCCCCTGCGGCCGCCAGCCCAGACTGAGCTGAAGTCCCTCCTTTTATACTCCCAGAGCACTTGAAGCATGCCCAGTACGAATGGGGCGGGACTTCCTCCATCAGAGCTACTGGTCTGACGCTACTGGGGCGGGGCTGGGCTGCCCCATGACAGACCCCATCATTTTATATGTATAGTTGGGATTATGTTTTTCAATGTGCATTACTTTGCATTTATCAACACTGAATTTAATCTGCCATTTTGTTGCCCAGTCACCCAGTTTTGTGCAATCCCTTTGTAGCTCTTCACAGTCTGCTTTGGACTTAACTATCTTGAGTAGTTTTGTATCATCTACAAATTTTGCCACCTCACTGTTTACCCCTTTTTCCAGATCATTTATGAATATGCTGAATAGTACCAGTCCCCGTACAGACCCCCGAGGGACACCACTATTTACCTCTCTCCATTCTGAAAACTGACCATTTATTCCTACCCTTTATTTCCTATCTTTTCACCAGTTATCAGTCCATGAGAGGACCTTCCCTCTTATCCCATGATAGCTTATTTTGCTTAAGAGCCTTTGGTGAGGGACCTTGTCAAAGCCTTTTTGAAAATCTAAGTACACTATATCCACTGGATCCCCCCTTGTCCACATGCTTGTTGACCCCCTCAAAGAATTCTAGTAGATTGGTGAGACATGAGTTCCCTTTACAAAAACCAGGCTGACTCTTCCACAACAAATTATGTTCATCATGTGTCTGACAATTCTGTTTTTTACTAGAGTTTCAACCAGTTTGCCCGGTATTGAAGTCAGGCTTACTGGCCTGTAATTGCCAGGATCACCTCTGGAGCCGTTTTTAAAAATTGGCATCACATTAGCTATCCTCCAGTCATTTGGTACAGAAGCAGAATATGAGCCCTGTGCTTACACAGGAGGACACCCACCTGCAGCTCTCATGACCCAGGCAGCAGTATGGGCATGCAAAAGACCTTCTGACAGCATATGCTGAAGCTAGTGTCTAAACGGGAGACACATGCATTGCACTCCAGGTATTTACGAAAGACACTATGTTAAAGCTCTGCAAAAGGTGTTGTTATTCTGAGCCACTTTACTCTGTCTAACAACTGAAGAACTTTGAGCATTCTTCTGCATGCTGTGGGAAAAGCTACATTCTGTGGTGTGCTCTGTACCCATTCAAAGTAACAAGGATGATCGTTAACAGAATTAACTCTCTTTATGGACAACTGCAGGTATTGTTACCAGATGTCCCTTAGCACTCAAACTGAAAAAACTGGCTCCTCAGCAGGAATGGAAAGGGAAAATTAGTTACCGGGATATAGATGAAGAACTCCACGATCCCTCAGTGGTGGATAATGAAATAAGAAAAGGTAAGTGCTATTTATTGCATTCTGATTTAATTCATCAGATCCTCCTTTTTATCCTCTATTCCCTTCTGTTATGCAGCATAACATTTCCCAAATTAACACCCTGATCATCAGTGCTGAGAATGCCAAGAATACAGGGAGCCACATTCACAGTGGCGTTGCAGCATTTTACATCAGAAGTGATTTGCTCCAGGAGTTTTCAGACCAGCTCAGGCCATAGTGTATCCTTGCACTTGGCATTGGCCAATACCTAGTATTCTAAGGGAAGACAAAAAACCATGTAGCTAGCTAGTTGTAGTGTTCCACCTGATGGGAGAAAACATCTCTCCTACCCCTAAGGGCTATCAACTTATGCTCCCAAGCTTCACGTTTCATTGTCCTTGTTGTCGTAGCTTGCATACTTACATACATCGTTACTGGTGATAACATTGTTTGGTTTTAAGTATATGTCACTGTGCCTAAGTGGGACATAGCTGCAAATGCCAGCTCAGGACAGACTGCTGAGAAACAGAGGAGGCACACTCTAAACTGGTGGTTATTCTGTCATTAAAGTTTATCTAACCAGTAACAAAAAGTGAGTTCTTGTATCATCATACTGGTTAACAAGAAGCCAAAAACCACAGTCTCCTTAGGCATTCCAGTCCCTGGCTCACCACCCAGACCACTGAACTTTATGATGAAAGGTTACTGAAAACCAGATTCACCATACATAAGGTTCTTCTAATTCCAAAGGGTCAGACACACACACCAGGTCAAATTATAAACTTTAGCATTTTACCAAATACAACACAAATAGCCAATCCTTTAGTAATCTAAAACTAAATGTTTATTGATATAAAAGAAGAGAGTTATTAAATGATTAAAGGAGCATATACAACTGATTTTAGAGTCTGTAGGTCAGGATCATAGCAGTGATGGTAAGTCTGCTAGCTTGCAAAAAGTCTCTCTGGATCACCCAAACAAGTTGGAGGTCATCAGTCCCTTGTTCAAAGCTTCCTTGTTAGAAATCACAGTCCAGAGGGGTGAAGTAGGAATTTAGACAAAGTAGTGATGTCACGTTATCCTCTTTTATACTTTCAGCCCATGTGCCTGGAAAGTTACTAGCAATAAGATGGATTCTTAGGTCGCATGTCCTTATCACATGTCTTGCTGAGTCACTGGGCAATGATTGCCTCAGTGCTAGGGTGACCATACATCCCATTCTGGCAGGGACAGTCCCTTTTTTAAGCCCTGTCCCAGCTGTCCCGACTTATTTGGCAAAAGCGGGTATTTGTCCCATTTCTTCTTGTCAACTTGATCAGTTGGCAAGAGCAAACATGACAAAGTCCCGCTTTTGTCAAAAAAGGTGGGTACAGAGGAATGTTTGGGGTGGTGGAGGGGGGGGGCAAGCACGGACACCAGCCCTAGCCTTTGGCAAATAAGGTCACCCTATCCAGTAAGTGTGTTGCTGATCGCCTGAGCCCTGCCTGCCCCCCACGTGGGGAGGGGGGCTTGGGCAAGCGGCTTGGGCCAGCTTCATGGGGAGGAGAGAGAGGGCCAGCCCTGCGCCATATCCCGTCTTCCTTTTTGGAAATATGGTCACCGTACTCAGTGCCCTCTGAAATGTCTACAGGAGGAACTCACTGGCTGAGTTGAGTCTCTTCAATGGCCCATCAACACATGGATGGTTAGACCTGATGGAAATCTGATTTTGGGGGCGGGAGGTTACCCAGGAATACAACACATGTTTGAGATACAAATACATAGCAAATATTCATAACTTCACATACAAATATGATACATGCATATAAACAGGATTATTATACTTAGCAGTCTATTGTCTAAGTCTATTAAATGTATACTATGATGCTGTATAAACGGAAGGTGACCATGTAGATCACTGTTGTTACCACTGTTAGAAAATGACCATAAATTTGTACAAAGTATTTCAATAGAATACTTTACATGAAATACTTTG